AAAATAGGTTGAGAGAATAGGAATGAGCCTAAAGCCAAGAACAAGGAGAGAGAACTAGCAGGTTTTGTGGTGTGTATATACACAATACATTTGTGATTAAAATAGACTAATGAATTTTCTAAAATCCTAAACTTTTTTACTCTTAAATTTATGTTTCAACTTTTAGAAACACATTTTTAATACGATGCTTTGTGTATGGAAACTCTTCATACCTTTAAGAGAAAATACCCTTGCTATTTTCATTTCAGATTTGCATTTAGCATTTGTTTGATCAAGATTTTATCTTTTTATGTATAACTTTTTTACTTAATTTCTCTCTCTATTTCCTTAGCCCTGGAAGAAAACGGGACTTTTCCCCTGTTTCTTGGAGTCAATACTTTGAGTCCATGGAAGACGTAGAAGTAGAGAATGAAACTGGCAAGGATATATCCTTTGCAAAATGGTTTATTCTTTAGTAAGCTTGTAATGTTGTAAGCTAGAAGACGTGTAGTTCCTAAAATGTTCTTTATTTCTATTGTTTATTTCATTTTTATTCTCTACCTGTTTGTCATAGAGCATAGAATATTACCTGTAAGTCTATGCCAGTATCTTACTTGGTTACAATTGTCTAATGCATGAGAATTAAATTTCTGAAATGGATACATCTCTTAAGAGCCCAGGGGAAAGTTTCATGAGTCTAGTGAGTGAACTGGTTTTTAGCATCTAGAAACCAAGGACTGTGTCCTCATTGGTGCAAAGGGAATCACTTTTTTTTTCCATTGGAAAAATGGTCATCCTGGGTCCAGGCTTTAAAAACAGAGGTTTGATGTCTCAGAAACTTCTATTTAAGTGTATCTTAAGTTTGGAAGTATGTAACTTTGTATGTAGATGGGTACTGCCTGAGTTTTCTAATCAGCATTATTATAACTAATCAAACATGTCAGTGAACAAAAGCTTAGATGTGTTGTCTTTAACTATTCATACACTTTTCGAGTTTACAAGAGTGGTTCAGAGGGTCCAGTCCTACTCCTTCTACATGGAGGAGGCCATTCTGCCCTGTCCTGGGCTGTGTTCACGGTAAGTAACTAGTTGATAGTAGAAGTTGATGTTAGCATAATCATTGTTTACTTCTGAGTGAATTTAACTAGCCTAACTCTTTTGTCTGTGCTCACTCATATGGCTTGATATAAAAAGGTTAGGGATGTGAGTCGATTTTATATTTGTCATGGTAGGCCTAAGATCTCCTGTTCTTTAAACTAGAGTTTCCCAACTGGGGTGGGCTTCAATACATGAATTCTTTAGTTTATAAAATGTTTTGTATATATCATTGGCGTGAGGTAGATGGAATCTGTGCCTTGTCAAAAGTGGTGTCTATATCTCAGTAATGTTAGTGGCTAAGCAGACATGTTCCATTCAGGTGCTTTAGATAGAGATGATGTCTATCCTTTATTTGTCTCCTTCATAGAGCCTATTGTAGTATTTTACATATGGAGATGTCCCATAAATATTTGAAAAATTTCCCTTTTTATTTTTCAAATAATGCTTATATTTTAATGGCACTTGTGAGCTACTAGGAAGTAAACAATATTTGGTTGATGATACCCTGGTTTAGAGTAGACGATATGTGCCTGCGTGAATGCTGCCAGTTGTAGATCTTCCTAATATCCTTGACTCGGGTGGGACAGTCTGTGTGCATGGAGAGATGCTAAGGAAGACAGTAGCAGCATTCCTATCTCAAATGAAATTGTCATCTCTTCTTATGTGTTATCAAGCAGATATATGTACTTCCTGTATTTACCACTAGAGAATCTGAAGGACAGAAAATGGATGCAAGTGGGAATGCAGCACTAGATACCTGGAGCCAGATGGCTGTTGAGTGTCTCATTTTGTTCCTGGCAGCAGGATTATTGGAATTAAGTATAAAAGCACCTTCTCATCTCCTTTATAGATTATGAATTCCTTGAGAACAGGGATAATGTCTTACCTTACTCCTTTTCGTTTCCAAAATGCCTGAAACATTTCTTGACACAGAGGCATTTAATTATTTAACTGTTATTAAGTGATTAAATGATTTGTCCCTGTCTTTTTGCTACTTCCTTTCTCTTACTTTAGGACATAGCTGCATGATTTGCTTATAAGCACCTCTCTTTCATGTCTCTAGAGCTTTCCTGTCCAATAAAAATATAATGCAAGCCATATATGTAATTTTAAATTTCCTAGTAGGGACATTAAATAGATAAAAAAACAGGTGAAATTAATTTTAATATATATTTTATTTAATTCATTGTACCCAAAATATTATCATTTCAACAAGGAATTAATATAAAAGTTACTGTTGAGATATTTCACATTATTTTTTATACTACCTTCGAAATCCAGTGTGTATTTTATACTTAGAGCACATCTCAGTTTGAACTAGCCACATCGCAAGTGCATAGTAGCATAGCTTTAGTCATTTACATTCCTCAGCTCAATTGTAAGCTTTTTTAGAGACAAAAATTATGGCTTATTTATACCTGGCACATAATATATGCTCAAGGAATTGTATTTAAATTAAGTTTTTGGGGGTAACATTGGTTAATACAATGATATAATTTTCAGGTGTACATTTTAATTTAACATCTGTATATTCTATTGTTGTGTTTACCACCCAAAGTCCAGTTTCCTTCAGCTACCATATATTTGATCTCCTTTACCCACTTCGCCCCCCCTCCCCCTGTATATTTGACCCCCTTTACCCCGTTTACCTACTCCCTCCTCTACCACCCCCTACTACCAAACTAGTAGTTTGGTAACTACTAGTCTATAGTCCATGTTCATGAATCTCTATTTGTTTGTCCTGTTTATTTGTTGCTTTTAGGTTTATATCCCACATATAAGTGATATCGTGATTTTCGACTTTTTCTGTCTGGCTTATTTCACTTAGCATGATTATCTCGAGCTCCATCCATGTCGTCGCATATGGCAGTATTTCATCTCTTCTTATGACTGAGTAATATTCCATTGTGTATATGTACCACAACTTCCATAGCCAATCATCTATCATAAGGCACTTCAGTTGCTTCCATGTCCTGGCCACTGTGAATAATGCTATTATGAACATTGGTGTGCAAATATCTTTTTGGATATGAGTTTTCAAGTCTTTGGGGTAAATACCCAGTAGAGGGATTGCTGGATCATATGGTAGGTTCCTTTTTCTCCGCATCCTCTCCAGCATTTGTTATTACTTGTCCTGTTAATTATAGCTATTCTAACAGGTGTGAGATGGTATCTCATTGTGGTTTTGATTTGCATTTTCCTAATAGCTAGCGATGTTGAGCATCTTTTCAAATATTTGTTGGCCATTTGTATGTCCTCTAGGGAGAAGTGCCTGTTCAGGTCCTCTGCCCCTTTTCTGATTGGATCATTTGCTTTTTTGTTGTTGTTGAGTTGTATGAGTTCTTTATATATTTTGGATATTAGGCCCCTATTGGAGGCGTTGCTTGCAAATATATTTTTCCATTCAGATGGTTGTCTCTTTACCTTGTTGACAATTTCTTTTGCTGAGCAGAAGCTTTTTAGTTTGATGTAGTCCCATTCATTTATTTTAGCTTTTACTTTCCTTCCCTTTGAGGACAAATTCATAAAATCCTCCTTAAATCCGAGGTCCTTGAGTTTAGTTCCTATGTTTTCTTCTATGCATTTTATTGTTTCAGGTCTTATATTTAGGTCCTTAATCCATTTTGAGTTAATTTTGGTGTGTGGTCATAGATAGCAATCTAGTTTCATTCTTTTGCAGGTGGCTTTCCAGTTTTCCCAGCACCATTTATTGAAGAGGCTTTCCTTTCTCCTCTGTATGTTTTTGGCTTTTTTGTCAAAAATTATTTGCCCATATAAATATGGGTTTACTTCTGGGCTCTTGATTCGGTTCCTCTGGTCCATGTGTCTGTTTTTCTGCCAATACCAAGCCATTTTGATTACTGTCACTTTGTAGTATAATTTGAAGTTGGGCAGAGTGATGTTCAAGGAATGTTTTTGAATGAAGAAATAACAGCAACATGTTTCTAATGTAGCAGCTGTAGTAGTAATTTACTCTGGTTGCCCTGAACCAAGATCTGAGCCAGCAGAATGGCTCATGTATCATGACTTGCCTGGCTCTGCTCTAAGCTAATACACTGTCACTGGGCAATTAACATGTTGGAGACATGGAAGGAAAGAGATCTGTGACTGTGGAGAAGAAAGAGGCACTATCTTAATTGACACATCACATTCACACAGCTGTATTGAAAGTTGCTAGGGATAGTGACTCCAGGCTCTGCTTCATAAGAAATTTGTCAAAAAGTAGTCTGTGGCTAGGAAAAGCTTTATTCCAAGGATAGTACTTAATTAGTTACAAGATTTTGTAAAATTTGATGAGAATTACATATATAGGCCGTAGGTAGCCTTACTATATTCTTTGAACTTTTGAGCAGCTCCCTAGTACTATAGTGCAAAATCTGAGCTACCGTTATCTATTTGAGCATTCAGAGCCCTTAAAGATGGAGGATCGAGGTAGAGGTAAAGAACAATAAAGTGGGAGTTGGAAGATGTGATTTCTAGCCCCGATTTTACTAGTACTAGTATTAATTATATCCTTGAGGAAGCTACTTAAGCCGTTGAGCAAGCCACATAAGCCTTTATTCTCTAAATACAGTCTCCTTACACTTTAAGATTTCTCGAAGATTATATAAAATAATAGATATGAAAACTGTAACTTATAAATTCTTGTACAAATATTTTTATAATAAGCTATTTTTTTACATGTATTGATATTAAGTATTTTAATTTCATATGTAGGAACAGTGAAATAACATGAAAAGTGCCTGACATAGAAGAGATGATTGATAAATAGCTGCTGTCATTACTATACTTGTTATCATTGTAAAGGATATCTCTAGTTCTACTTTTACCAAAATATATTCTATGGATTACAAATTCCACCAGAGATTAATGAAATAGGGATTTTGTGATTAAATGAGTTTGAGAAATATTATATATAATATTCTTCTCTTATCTCTCCTTTGGAAATTTGCCTACATATCAGTGTATCATTAAAGCCTTTAGGATGATATTCTAAAGAAATCTAATTTCAACTGTGTCTTCCAAATGTATTTGACCACTCGGTTCCTTTTTTCTAAAACATCTGTTAACATCCCACATTTTGTGAAACTCTTTTGTAGATAGATCATTATGTCTCAGTTGCTTACCTGGTTTACTTGTATAATCTAGGGAATTCTCTACCACTCAATTAACTTAATAGCTTGGACTTTGGCTGGTTAAATTTACCCGCCCTTTTTTGTCGTTGTTATTCCTGCCAGTGTACAAGCCTACTGAACGAGTTTATATGTGACTGTGCTTTGAAAATAAAAGTAGCTGCATAAACGTTAGTGCTCTAGCAATTGACTTGACTCCAGAGCTCATATGTCCTCAAGTACTGGAACATGTCTTGGGATCCAGAAGGCAGTTCTGACAAACAGCAGGACTAAAATTAAACACCTTATAATTACAAGAGGCAGAATTTACCTTAGCCTTTCACCCAGGTGATAATTGGTAAAATAAGGAAGTAAAATAGAAGCAAAAAGACACTAGCATAGCAGGAGGATGAGTATATTAACAGCCAAAGGAAGAGATGAACAACTGTGATTGATTTTTATGATGCTAGATTATGAGATCCTTGATATCAGGAACTATGCCTTATTCACTCTTATATATCTAGCACACAGGGCCTAACATGGAATTGATGCTCAGTAGTTCTTCCTTGAATAAGTTAATGACAATCCTGAACAATTAAGAAAAGGTTAAATTTTGTTCATTGTATTCTATTTAAGAAGGCAGAAAAGTATGTAATTATCCTAAAGTCTTTATCAAATGACAGTAAGTCATTTACATATGGCTGATACATAAAGAAGTATATAATACCATGGTTAGAAAAATCCCAAACTCCAGGAAACTCAAGGCCAAAGGACGTGAAGAGACAGTTCATGGAGAACAAACAGACATGAAGATGTTCACTCTCGCTAGTAATCAGATATGATTCATGGGAGGTATCATTTTTTTAT